ACAATAATCAGGTCTCGCAGACGTATTCAATTGCTATCAATTGCAAAAGTAATCAATGTGACCAAGATTGTTTTACATACACAGTATTTTAGGAAACCATTAGTGTTTTGTAAAATGACTGGCCTCCAGATCTACTATTCAAAAGGTTTGTTTTCTGTTCTTGTTTAATGATTTTTCTTGTGTGCAAAAGTAAGGCTTGGAAAACACAGGAGAGTTATGATTCTGAAGTTATAGTCGATATCTCTTGAAGAGTGATGATTATATTATGGATGGGGCCTTCTGGAGCTGGAAACAACTTCACCCAGGGGGGATAATAGAAAAGTAGTGGAAAGTAATCAAAACTGGTCTTAATGGGAGTAGCACAAATCTGGAGAATAATGTTTAAGAACTCAAACATGTACATACAATTAAGGAATAGCTCTAGCTCAGGGGTGTCAAACTCAATGCCTGGGGGCTGGACCTGGTCCATGGGGTGCTTAAATCTGGCCCATTGGGCCAGCCTGGAAATAACAAAGGACCAGCCCATGGTGCCTCTGGCAGACATTTTTGGCATGGACAGCCTCCTGAAGCGCCTTGCTGGCCAAAGCAGGGTACTTGGGGGGGGGCACATGCAGAGGTACAGTAGGAGGCATCCATCAAGTCTCCCCACCCCGGCTGCCCCATGGAGGAGAAGTACAATGCTGATCTGGTCCTTGAAGAAATCCAGTTCGACATCCCTTCTCTAGCTCTATAGGAAAGGTATTGTTTGTCATAGGTTTGTATTCAGGTTATACAATCAGATCAAATGAAAGCAGCAGAGAGATAAATCCTTTACAGTCAAACTACTGGTAGTTCTCCTTTAATTCATTCAGTGAAGTTCAAAATTACAATGGTGCTGATCCTTGCCTAAAGTTATAGCCATTTCAGGTTCCTGTGGTCACATGATTGCAATCTGGGAGCTTGGCAACCTGTTTGCCCTTAGAACAAGTTCTATGCACCCCATGATCATGTGATTGTCATTTGCAATCTTTCCTACCAGTTTCCCTGGAAAGTCAATAGAGAAGCTGGTGGGGTCACAAGCCACAATCACTTGCTAACTTTTAGTGGGCATTCTTGACTCTGTTCAGTATTACAATCCAGACTTCAAGATTCCATCTAAAGGTGGGTCCTTTCCTTTCCCTTTTCCTATCCTTTCCTTTCTATCTGATTCCTAGAAAACATTCTTTAAAATTTTTGTCTATAGCCATAAATAAATAAAAACAAATGATCTTTCAATTCCTTAAAAATAGCTTCCTTTTTGCAATTTAAGAATATTTTTGTCCATTTCTTTTTATAGGTTTTGTCTCTTCATGATTAAAATTCTATAGCTTGGGCAACAGGAAAACATAGGACTTGTATTAAAATATGTTTGGATTTTGCTATGGCTTTCAGCATAGAGCAAAAGCTTGCTTGTCACTTGATGCTTAGATACGAGATAGTTCATTCTAAAACCAGACAAGCAAATTTGTCATTTTGTCTTAGAGGAACCACTGTGTTTGGCAAGCCAACAACTTTTCCTTCTAGTCAAACAACAATGAGCTAAGGATTTTAGCAAAGACAAAGTCAGTTAGCAGTTCAACAGTCAGCTGAGGTAGCAAAACTGTTCCACACCCCAGAGTGTAAAGAGTGAACTGAGCCTATTGCATCCAAATAATCAGACTAGAAAATGAGTCAATGTTTTGGCAACTGGTCATAAGAGCATCAAGGTGAACACATTATTTCCAGCACTCGTTTATCTTTTAACAGGCCAGATGGACAATTCAGGGCTCGAACGTCCATTCTAAACCATCTGGATCGTATTGCAGGTATCAACAGCAAGCCCAGCATAAACCTGTAAGGAGTTACCTGTAAGGAGTATTTCTGTTGCACGCTTGTGGGTTCTGTGACTTTCAGCCCTTTGAACTGAAATTCTTTAAGAATTAGACTTCCAAGATATTCATGTCTAGATAAATGGATAGAGAGTAAATGATAGTTTAAGGAGAGTGTTATGATTAAAATAATAAGGGATGAGTAGGAAGCAGAAAACTAGCTTCATCAAAAGTGATTCTGGATATCTTACTTTGCCTAACTGCATTTTTTTAATTTAGTGTATGGACTACCAATATACAGTATATTAACATTTCACCTAGAATGGTAAAACACAGTAAAATATAAATACTAAAAAGAGCATTGTTTATATGAAGAGAAAAAAAAACAGCTACTGGTCCGGCATATACCCTTAGCATTGTTGTGGCCCTCCAGCAGCCAGTTGAGCTGGCAGCAGATTCAGACACTGAGAAGGTTGGGGAGGAACATGGGCCAGTCCTGGAGTCTGGGGAAGGCTCTGATGAATGCTCTGCATCCGAGGCAGAGATGGGACCAAGGCCATCTGACAGTGATCAGTTGCCTTCAGAGTCAGATATCAGTGAGGCAGAAGAAAACCTGGAGCCTGTTCCCAGTGTGCGCATGCGCAGAGCTGCCAGAAGAAGGGAACAGCCAAGGAACAAGGATCAACTTGGGAATAAATCCACAGGTGAACAGTGAATGGCCCCTCCTATAGGGAATAAAAGAGGAGTGAAAGGGGAATGGGGTTTTGCAGGAGACAATTCATTTGGGTGAAGATCTGTTCCTGCAATCTTGCCAAGTATTGTCTGCTACAGTGTGGCATCTGAAAGATATTGGCCTGGCAACTTTCCAAGCCTGATAAAGGTCTGTAATTGTGAAATATCTTGAAAACTGTTGGCCAGGACTTTGCTGGAGAGGAATTCACTGTAAACTAAATAACAGGGTTTTATCAGGATGAGGAGTCAGCTTCATGCTGTTGGGGAAGCCTAGGTCAGAACAAGCATATAGTAGGTCATCATGTGATCTGTAGTTTGATGTGGGACGTCACAGTTACACTAAGGGGAAGATACTATGCCCCATTTATACAGCCCCAGCAAATGTCATGTGAGATGTAAATCCTATTTAGGATTTCTGGACTTGTAGTTCAAAGTTGATTACATGAACATGTACAGATAATGAAAGTTTTAGAGTTGTCAGAAAGTGGAAATTGTGAATAGAAAACAATGGAGATAAGGCAGACAGAATAATGTAATGCTGTAGCAATAGCAACAGAATATTTCAAATCTGTAACTGGATGGCTTGAATCAAATCAAAAAAGTAAAATTTTACCTTATTAAATAGTAGTATGGTACAGTTGATATAATGCAGATTTTTGAAGACATATAAGTTTGGAAACCACTGTCATATATGGCCTTGTTGAGAGATCTTGATCAGATTACTGTCAGGCTTGGCTGCCTTATTCTAAACTACTAAAACTAAGAGCTGGTTTTTAGAAGTAAGATAGTTTAAGATATAATTAAAAAGACATTGAAACTAACTGCTATTGAATAGTGTGTGTGCGTGTGTGTGTATGTATGTATGTATTGATTGTAAAATGTTACAAAACATATACATATTTGTAAAATATTATCAAATCACACCAGTGTCAAACTTGCCGCATGACATTGCCATCACGTGACATATCATCAGAGAGGTTTAGACTGCGCGTGATGCATCCGGCCTGTGGGCCACCACTTTGACACCCTACTCTATCACATGTTTCTTAAATAGCTTTTCATTTTATTGCTATCAACTTTTTAAATTATTTGTTAGTCTAAAATTTTATTTCCTACTTTCCAGGCAAAACTTTTATTTTTGCAACTTTTTATCTATGCTGGCAATATAAATTTTTCTGCATTATGTAATGTTTGAAATTGATGTTAACCCTCTGCAATAAATTAATATTAGGCTTTCCAAATTACCTGGATGATGAAAGCAAAATTATATAACCAGGTTGCATTGATTTTAAGTAAAGCTGCACTTACATTAGACAAAATTGTGTTTCCTAAAGCTTTCTAGCTGGGTTATAATAATTATATGATTATGTAGTACGTTGATTTTATGCTTTTCATTCCTTGCAAACTCATTTTACATAATGAACATAAATTAGATGTTCTTGTTTGATTTCTACATAGGTAAAATATCTATTTTATTTCCAAAATAATGTATCCACAATTAGAGACATGGACAAACTTTAGAATTAAACATGAGGTTATAAATCAAAGTGTGCTTGAGTCTCTTTATCTTCACCTCATCTGCTTTGAATTTTGCATATCTTCCTGAACAAAACTAAGTTTGTAAAGGATATTAAGTTTTGTTTGGTCTTCCTCTCCATTTTAAAGTACTCTGTGGATTTTAATATGAAGTTATGATCCCCTAGACTGATTGATATATAAACATAAGACAGATGGTTTAAAGATGGCTCTGATGATAATCCATTTTTCAGCTAGACATGAAGATACTTTGATTACAGTATGTTTAAGCAATTATAACAGAGTATTCAGTGTTAGTCTTGTCTTAGGGAATGCATGAGAAACAAGTTGTACGTTATTCATATCCAACAAAGAGTACACTGTGGTAGTGTGACCCATTTTCATTCTGAATGTTAGGTGAGCACATAGATATTTAAAATATGTCATAGAGCAAGTTAAATAAATTAAGCATAGACTCAATATAAAGTACATAGCTTTTTGGCATAAATATTTGTTTTGGAATATATTTATTGCTATATGAAAGAAACCAGTATGTTTGAATTTTGGTTTGACTTTGCATAAAGCTTGTTAAAAAGTCACATGGCTTGTTTGCAAAGTTTACTAGAGTCCTTCTATATAGTACCATTTATTTTATTTTTATTTTATTGAGGAATTAACTATATATTTTTGAATATCTACAATTACATTTCTAAATGATGTACATAAAATCATCCAATTATAAAAAAATTAAGTTTATTTATATCTAAAAATTATTATAAGAAACCTATTCATAAAGAATATCCATGGTTTTAATGATATAATGGAATAAATTGAACTTGGATAAATAAGCTATCATTCAGTTAATCAAACACGTATTTTATATCTTCTAATTTTCAGTTAAATATCTTCCATGTTTCTCTCTGATAGGATAATAGATCGCTTGGATGGCGTTCGCTTATTATGGTCATTGTTGAAAAATCCTCACCCAGGTGTTCAGGCCAGCGCAGCCTGGGCTATCTGTCCTTGTATTGAAAATGCAAAGGTAAATAAATGGATTGAAATTATAATTAAATAATCACCAAATGTTGTGAATTTAACAATAAACAATCAAAAAAAGTTTATCTATTTCCTAGCAAGGCATTTGACAATATATCGGTGGTATTCTGATTAGCAAGTTACCTAATGTTTACTGAATGGTACGACATTAAATGGGTACATAGGAAGGATGAACTGTGCCTTATCAAACTGGAAATAATTATGAAAATATTGAGTAGGGTATCACAAGAGTTAAGTCTTGGTATTCAACTAGCACCTATCACCAATATTTTCATGTTCTTAATGAATCCTTATCAAACGTGTAGATGGTAAAAGGGGGAAAGATAGCTAATCTAAAAAAACATACATAAAATTCAGAATAATATTACATTACAGAAATGGCTTAAAATAGTATAATAATTTGCCAGAAAAATACACATTTTAATTTAGGAAATAAAATCAATGCGCAGATAGAGGATAGGTGATACCTGGCTTGGTTACAGGATTTCTAACAAATGTCATATAACTGACTGCAAACAGAATATGAGTTAGTAATACACATGGCTGTTGCAAAAAGCCAAATGCAACTTTAGGGTGCATGAACACAATACCACTATTGTAGTTCTATTTTATTGTATTTTGGTCATACTTTTAATCAACTTTATTTCTCCTTCCTCTCCAAGGTATTGTTTTTTAAATCATAGGTTCTCTAGAATTATATTAAAATGTTAGCTACACTAGATGAGACAACTAAAATCTTTTTTCTGGTTAATTAAACTTTAAAGACTCACATTAGATTGATTTTTTTTACCCTACCTTATTGCTAAATTACTTTGTGTCCTATGTCAGTGCACTTCATGACTTTGAGTTGGTGAGATGCAGAGAATATCATATTGATTTCCAGAATAGGAATTTTAACTTGCATGGAATAACATGAACATATCTGGAATAAAATCAGGCTTTGGGTTTACTAATAATGTACTAAACTACATGTGCTAAAACTGACCAGTACTGTCCTTATCTTAGTGGGAAAATTTACATATGGGACAGGTGTGACTAAGACTAGATATTAGGTCTATATTTTTACTAAATGTTACATGAAAGCCTTAGTTAATCAAAATAATGATGGATTGTGGAGATTAGGGTTAGTAGGTCCATCTGATGATGATCAAAGCACATGGAATATTATGTCTCAGATATAAGAGAAGTAAAGAGTATGAATTAGCTAATTAAATGAATAAATAAAAATAGTTGTGTATCTGTAAAATTAAGGATATAATAGAACTGAATGAAGATGGTCTTATCTTTTGGAGAAATGTTGTTGTCAATCATTTCATCTTCTCCAGCCATCAGCCAGTCTATGGATTTAGTACTATGTGGAGAAATACATAAATATAGGATCAATTATATAAAAGAATGAATGAAAGAACTAATATATATGTCCAAAGTATGATTTGGTATCATCTAGGTTACATTGTACTTTCATATGTACATACTTTTTCCTATGCATAATATTGGAGATATATGGATATGCTTTGATGTTGAGGTTTTTTTTCTGTTTAATTGCTTTATATATTACATAATACCTACAATAATATTCTAACTTTATTCTGCTTAATTGATTAGATATATAGTATTAATCACATATGTTCTAAGAGTCCTCTGAACTATATTTTGGATTTGCACATGTTTTATATTGGACGGTAGTTGATTTGAATATGAATTAAATCTTTAGTTATATCTTTAATGTGTCCTAAATAGGAGTTAAGTCTATAGGACTGTTTATCATGCTTGGTCAGGGTGTCATATTTATAATCATTCTCTTGCATTGCTCACATTATCATTTATACTAGGTTTCTACCATGACTACATCACTGAGAAAATAAAGCTGGCTATGAAATATTCAATTTTTATTCATATAATATATTTTAACAAGGAGTTTTATTATTCCCCAAAAGAAACAATATTTGACCAACTTGCTAACTTGTAAATTGAAAAGTTCATGATTACCAAATTCAGAATATGCTTCCAAATTAGGAAATAGTTTAGTTTTTATTCATCTGTTCATACATTTACCCATACACTGAATGAACATTGGGGGGGGGGGGCTATTTTGAATACAAATAAGTCATAGCAAATTTAGCAAGGGCAAAAAGGGAAATGAATGGCAAGTCAGAAACATGCACACTTGAAGCAATTGGATATGCTGTTTAGTATAAGAATAATTACTAGAATTCTGATAAAACATGCACCACCTCCAAGAAATAAGAGATGGAAAGACACAGTGAAACATCAATTGGATGGAAGGATGGAAATGTTAGGGTGTGTTGACACAAAAGAAGATGAGAAATTAATATATGCCAGATACATATGAAGGAAAATGAACAAAGTTAGGAAAAGGGAGCCAAAATATAAGTAATACCATGCCAGAATCAACAAGGGTAATGTTTAGAGAGTTAGGCTGAAGACGAAAGACAAGGTATGTTCAAATGACTATTGGCTTGTTTCCCAAATATCAATGCTGTTTACACACTGTTGAATGGTACTCTACATGTTCCACCCACCTCCATAAGCTGGCCAGCACTTGCTCCAGCTGTCCAGTGTAGGGAAACTGGCTAGCCAATGTTCCACCGACTTTCCTTGCTCCTCCTTCATTCCATTTGCTTCACATGACTAAAGAAAAGATGAAGAAGAAGAGGGCAGGGTAGATGTGCTCCTCCCAGCACACAAAAAGCAAAGAGTAAATAGTTAAAGGTACCATGGCATTTTATTTATATTTTTATTTATTTTATCCTGCCTTTATTATTTTTACAAACAACCCAAGGTGACAAACTTATCCAATACATCTTCCTACTATTTTCCCCACAACAAAAACCCAGGGAGGTTGGTTGGGCTGAGAGAGAATGACTGACCAAAGTCACCCAGCTGGCTTTCATGGCTGAGGTAGGACTTGAACTCATGATCTTCTGCTAGCTAGTCTGATGCCTTAACCATTAGACTGAATTGGCTTTCTTTTGCTCAGGAGAGGAGTGGAAATCCCTGAACATGGGATGAATGGTGAGTTTTTGCAGTAAATAACTGCCTGTCTCACATTGCAGAGGAAATGCAGCAAATTTAGCCTTATTATGTTTCTTCTGAAGCTCATTAACTTCTGAAGAGAGAACATACAACTCATATACCAATATATATCAACACTGCCCTTGCTTGATAGAAAGGTCCAGAATTTGGGAATGGAAGCTAGAATATAAAAATTGTATCTTTTAAGATAGAGACTTCTTTCGCAAAATATCTGTTGGGAAACACAGGAATTTATCACTGGGTTTGTTTATCTTATTACTTGGGAATTATCACTAATCTTACATAGGAATATGCAATTTACTTTCTATAGGCATTGCCCATTGAGTACCAAACATATAGAATTACTGAAACCTAAACCTGAGTTCTAATCAAATGCTCCAAGATAGTACAAAAAGGACATGGAGGAACTGATTTTCTTGATGAGCAAAGACCAAATTTACTTTTACTCATCATTTTAAAAATTTGCTTTAAGGTTAGCAGCATCAACAGTTGGGTTGAATAAGGTGAAAAAGGATGTAGTGGCAACACAATCCAAGCTCACCAATTTTATGTTTTTTATGCCTTTCTTTAAAAATGTGTATTCTGTTATTCTGTACTCTGTGTATTCCTCATGCTTTCTGTATTGTGCTGTCCAGACAGTTTAGAGTTAATGGGATTTGGCATAGTTAAGTTACAAATTGAGAGCTGTCCCCTTAAGGGGATGCATCATGGTAAATGTAGTTAAGGTATCCTGGGAAATGTAGTCCATGTTAGGTGATCACATCTGTAATCCTGATTGGTCACTAAATTGGCCCTTGTTGGGTTGGGGGAGGCTCCCCCACTCTTGCCTGAATCCTTTACCATGCAGCCGTTTCAATCATCATGGGGATGAGAGTTTATTATCTTTCTAGACCATAATGCAGATATGCAAAGGATTGGACATTAAGAACAACCTTGTCATAACTGTGAGTTAATAAAGATGCCTGATGAACCAATAAAAAAGACTTTGTATGGATGCTTTGTGGAGCCAGAGCATAGTAAGCAGAACAGGAGAAAGATAATTAATCTTGGTTCCTGGAAGAAGTAGAGTGGAGCAAAAGTAATTTGAATTTTGTGATAAGGACAAAGATATTTGAAGCCAGGAGTAATTGTACATGCTATTCCTTTGTACTTTGGTTCTCTCTCCTTCAAACCTCTCATCGTGGTTTCAGGAAGGGGCAAATTCACCCCCTTTTCTCTTCAGCGAAAAAAGTGGTGTGTCTCAAGTTACAGCTCCTAACTCAGAAAGAACCGATTTGCAAAACAAAGGGAGGAGCCAGGTATTACCCATGTACCCCTGTCTTCTCTCAGTTACTACCTACAAACTCCTTTCAAATGCAGATGAAGAGTCAAAAGTAGTATCTTCTTGTGTTCTAAAAGAAAAGCCAAAACTGCTCTGCTCATTCAAACTGAAAAGCTCAGTGTTTCTTAAGCTCTGGCCTGCTTCAAACAGGCAATTAAGAGAGGCCCTGTGTTCTCTGGCCGTTTTGTTGGGGGTCGTAATTCATTACTGAAAGACCGTCTTCAAAGCAAAGGAGCCCATTTCCCCTCCTCCCAAGACACAAAGCTAATTCAAGCAGCTATATGAACAAAGGAGCAATTCCTTTTTCCTTAAAAGTTTGAAAGCCTCCATCTTCTCCTATCTATACCAGAAAATTGAAAGTATAACAAGGCCACACTGCATGTTGTATTTGTTTGATGAATTTCTCTTCCAGTGAGTAAGCAATAAATTCCTTTGGGGCTCACGCCCCCTACAGACTTAAGCAAAGCATCCCACAGCACCACCTGGTGGTCTAGGAGAAATTTCCCAGAGACTTCAAAGACTTGTCTGCAAATTTTTATAAGAACTTGTTTACAAATTTTTATAAAAACTATAGGAAGTTTCCCAAATTTAACCAGTGTTTAACCAAT